TGTACGTATGATAGTTCCAGGTGGCCAGCTGATTGTCCTAATGGTATCCGGTGGTCATAGTGTTGCTGGAACACAGACTGTGTCTAAAAGATGGATGTAGCAACTGTGACAAGCCCTGCCTTTGGAATTTGGCCAGCACTATCTTGGTCTTTTGGAACCAGATGTAACAAGCCAGGAGTAGATCTGACTGAGAACATGAGGACATTATGCACACCCATATGGTAGCAGCCTGTCAATCACAAGGTAGCCTTGTCCTTAAACATACCCTGCTTTACCATCTATTGTACTCTAAATGGGACCATAATTTACAAATTAACATCCTACTGTGTTTAGGAAGACTCTAAACTGATTATCATCATTAGAAAAAGGTTTACAGATCAGATTGAAAGTACAATAGTTTTTTTCATTCACTTCTATTCAATCAGACTTCTCTTAGCAACCAGAGTAGCCACCCTCCTCTGGCTGTAGAATACAGATACAAAGCATTCTTGCTTTTGCGTAATTTTTAGACCTGGTAGTTGCATTCCTCTTTTATATGCAGCCTACCTCCATTTATAGTTGTCATTGTAAAATGTGCCAATGAGATACAATTGGGGCCTTTTTTTTATGGGGCCCCAAACATCTGCCTGGTTGACCTCTCCTGAAATTTCACCCCTATAGATATCTAGACAACTGTGGTAAACCACTGGGGTCAAAATCCAGTCTTGGTGACTATTGGTGGCAGGCAAACCATGGTGTCAGGTCTCACCGTTAGTTTCCGTGCAAACTCAGTCATCTACAATCATCTACATCGACATGTTTCCCATCATCTAGTTTAGTGCATTTTCTGCTCAATATATATTTATTACCTTCAGATGTTTCGGGTTAATATGACCATAACTTTTTGACAACACTGTCACAGCATTAATGTACTTCCATCTTTGCTTTTGGAGAAAGATCAGTGAGTCTACTACTTTGGTCTAGGCCCATAATGGTTTTGGCAGGAAAAGTTAGAGGCAAACTGGGCCAAGCCACAGGAATTGCTGACTGTTATATCGCGAGCGCAGGTTGCACGTGTTTGCAACTCAAGATGGCAGACAGCGCAACCTCAAGCCCCATGAAAACTCAACTCGTAGGTACAGTAAGGCAACATAAAAACTTAATTAACCACCACTAAGCATTCCTTTCTACCCCATTGTCCTCAAAAGTATCTCTAGTTCCTTATGATGACCCATGTAAACTCTTCAATGTTTAGCAAGACAAATCTTGAATCAGTTTTTTTCTCAAAAAGTAGAAAATGGGGTATGGACCACTTTGGCACTCAGCAAAAGGAAAGGCATAATTAAAACTTACATAAGTCATCAACAAGTAGTTGTTTCTATCTCTGGACAGTGGGTAAACATCTTTGAATGCATACAATGACTCCTCCAACAACCATGATTTTTTTTTAGCAACACAAAATTTTGACCCAATTTTTCTCGAGAATGAGTAAATGTGGTTAGGCCCACTTTGGCACTGACCCCCTCAAATATACAGACATTCTCACTAATCTTGTTGTGTTTAATTCCAGTTAGCCCATTTTAGCATGCTAGCATGCCAAACTAAAATGGTTTACATCGTAAACATTATACCTGCTCAGTGTCAACATACAGTTTGAGCATTGGTTACTGTAAACATGCTAAAATGAGCATTTAGCTCAAAGCGCTGCAAAATACAGCCTAACAAGGAAACAGTTCTGTTGACTATATAGTCTTGTTTAATATACTAATAGTTAAATAATTATAGAGCACTTTAATTGCCTTTAGTCTCCCTTTAAGTTATGTCCTTTAAATCTGTTTTCTGTGTAAATGCTAATCTTAGCATTGTTGTCATTGTAAATATGTAGCTATAAAATGTGGCAAAGCTTTTAAAGGTTGCTGTAATAGGATTTCACTTGTTTAATGACCATAAACCATCATGAATAACAGTGTTCCAACAGTAATGTCCACCTAAATGGGTGAATATGGACCATATGTGGCCTATACTGGGCTATATTGTCTCTGTTAGCCATGCATGTCTCCATGAGCAGCAAACCTCATCCTGCAGAACAGACAGCTGCTCCGCTCGTCCATCACTCTACATTCATCATCAACAGTAAAGATTGCTGAAAGACAGTCAAATCCTGCACCCAGCTCCTGGTAAACAAATGAATCACCTAAATCAACTGCTCAGTGACTGTTTCAGCTAAAATAGAGCAGAGTGAATGTGCTCAGAAAGCAGATAAAAGAAGAAGTAGTGGTTAGAAATCTATTCAGAAGCACCGCAGTAGGCTTCCAGCACAGCATATGGTGGCCTCTAACTGACACAAATACTACACATCATATTTTCAGTCAGAGTGGCCAAGTAGAGCAGAGAGCCAACAGAACTCTCTTATACAATTTAGATCATTACATATATTATATATTGTATTAAAAAATTAGCAGCAGTGGTGTATTTTTTGGGCATCTTTTTACTAAAAGCTAAAAAATCAGCTAAGCCTTAACGAATGAGGCTGAATGAGGCTGAACGCAGTGGGAGCAGGTACCTTTCAGCAAGCTACACTGAGCAGACGCTGAAAATCACTGAGCTGACACCAACTCCATGTCCAATAATTTATGCACAGGAATACAAAACAACATACGAAAGCAGCTCATGAGTCATTAAACATTAAGAAAAAAAAAAAAAACACCCTGCACTTGTCCGGCTATGCATTACTTACATTAACTTAATTTCATTAAGTTACAGGCTCTGGTCACCACAGATTAGTGCGTGCATATTTAAAATGACTGATGACAGCACATTAGACTCTAACTTCATTTTATTATATTTGACACATCATTCACTGCAACATTTCACCTAACTCAGTTTTGCTGCTTCTCAGCCCCTTGACCACAGTGGCAATCTCAAAAATCTCTGTTTCATCCTCTTTGGCGGCAGCTATAGTGATTAGCAGACCCTCACGACACAGAGCAAAAGAGCATCGTCTGTGTGACGTTGTCAGTCAGCTGTCAGTTGGCCCTGGGCCACGCCTCCATAAGCATCTGAGCTCAGCACACAGGAAAGTAAAAATGGAATAAAGTCTTCCTAGACAAGAAAAGAAATAGCAAAGAGTAAACTGCTTCACACAGAGATATGTTGAAGAGACAGTTTGTTGTGTTAGCGCTACTAAATCTTTGTTTAAATGAACAGCTCTCAGATGCCACTTTAAACTTGCTCTAATGCACATTAACAATGGATCAAATAATTATGTTCCATGGGAACAAGGTTGCTATAAATTAACACTCAGAGAATTGTTGCTCTGCCACATCTCTCAGTGTTACGGGGCTTTTCATCCTCATTTAGCTCATTGTTTTTAGTTTTACAAATGACAAGATCTGCACTCAGCAACTTATTTAATGGTTTGAAATGTGCACTATTTGCTCAACACCAAACAGCTGATGAAGTTCGAGCCTATCTGTTGAACATACAATAGTACTGAGAAGACTTTTTTCTCAAAGGTTGGCAATTAAAACAGAGCCAAACTATGAGTGAATACTGGACTTACATTCAGCAGGAGAACAAAAGCACGACTAAATGAATAACAATGTGTAAACAGGCAACTGTTTGCTCACTCAGTTGGCACAAGAACTTTAAAAGGTGCTCACATGTCATTGCTGAGTTGGCAGCTTCTTTTACTGCCCCCGAGTCGCAAAAGAAATCAATAAATGTAGCTTCAGAGATGAACTGACCAATATTTTTTTATTAATATTGCACCATAAAAATCAGCTTATGGTGATAATGTCACTGCTTATGTTTTAAATAGTTCAACTACTAGTTACTTGGAAAATCAGTTTAAATCAGTTTTTAGTTTGGCCACATTTGTTGTGGTTGCACCATTACAACCTCGCTGGCTGTTCACATACACCTTACTGTGCATCGTTGTGAGCGATGTGGGTTTTTTAACGATCTAAGTTCCCTCCTGATGGCAAGGCTACGATGAAACGGCTAGAAAGTGACTGAACATGTTTCTTGCTGTGTAATTGGGTTGGTTTTCATTTTCTACTTTAACTAGGGCCCGTGATGCTCATAGACTGTCTATAGCGATGCTCAGTATCACAGCTCCCTCCTGTGGCTGCTTGCTGCTGCTGAAAACATGCGTGAAGCCAACTTCACCCTTAACTGTCATGCTCAGCAGAGCAGAGACACTGGGAGAGTCTGCAGAGGAAAACATGTATGATCACTGGTGTTCACACAGGAAGCAGCTGCACAGTCACCACACTTGGTTGCACCGTAACGACACAGGTGAATGTGTGTGTGTATGTGTGTGTGTCTGATGACATGTGCATGTACCAACACATCTGTAGTCTTTGTAGTAAATGTAGCATGAGAGCTCTGGGACCAACAAGCCACCAGAGCAGAGTGGGATATTATTTTTCTGTGCTTTGAATTGAAACAGAAATGTAAATTAACCAAGGGGTGACCTTTTGACCATGCATCTGTAAACCATGTAAGTATTCTTTGCGTGTTTCTGAATAACATTAATTTTTAATGCCTGTATTTGTTTATTTTTTCTGATTTTGATCCTAGAAAAGCCTCTGAAAATGCATGCATTGTACTGTGAAAGGCACACTTCAAGGTATCAATCCAACCCCAGCAGCTTCTATTAAAAAAAACAGTGAGAGGGGATTGCGCACGAGAAAAGAGATGTGCATATGAGAGAATGTGGCGAAGACAAGAACCAAAACCTGTGGGTTTATATTGTGAGTGTAGCGGGGAGGTGAGACAAGGCAGTGACATCAGAGGGAAAAATGGAGCGGGGGTCAAGAAAGAGTAAAGCTTGCAGGGAACGTGAAGTTGAGCATTCCACAGTTTGAATGGGGGTGCATCTGGAAAACTTTAAAAGGAGAGGGGAGGGGAGAAGGAAAGAGGAGGAGGCAAGAACATTTAGGCCACACATAGAGGATGTCAGTGGGTCGGATTACTAGAAGAGTTTATGAGATATAAAGGCGTCACCCTGTTTGAGAATGCAAAGGAAAAAAAGTAGTAAAAATGAGAAGACTTGAACAAATTGTTTAGGTGACTTGGTAACTTCATAGCTCCAAAAAGAGCAGCGTTGCTAAGATCGGCTGTACAATCAGAACGCATTCATGCATCAGACAGAAGACAGTGTGTCATAGGCACACAAAAAAAGGCAGAGAGTAGGGGAAGTCTGACCAAAGTGCTCGACCTCTTCCTGCCTCACGATCAGCTCAGGAAGTTGAGGCAGAAACAGAGGGGAGGGCTGACACACAGAAACATATTTTCCCTTTGCCTTTTAGTTTTTCCTTATTCAGTCCTGCTCCGATCAACAGGAGGAAGAAAAAGGGGGGCAGAGAGGAGGCGGGGTTATAGATGGAGCTAAGAGAAGCGCAGCAGTCAAACAGTCAATCTGTGGAAATATGATGGAGGCCAGCGTTGTTTCCCAGGACACAAGGTAAGTTTGTGAGGGGTCCGTGACAATGTGGCTGAGTGAGAATACAGTGCAGGAAGTGCATTCTGTCCTGGCAGGGGGACGCTGTAATGTCACGGCAGTGAGTGGGAGTCGGGGGTCGAAAGCCACACAGCCAGAGCAGGAAAAACAGATGTGATGACTCACTGACTAATATATAGGTCAGTGCCTTCCCAGAGTTTAAGGAATTTCCTGCTTTTGTGTTTTTTTACCAAATCAGATTTGTCAAACATAAATTGCAAGACAGAAAAGAGAACTCTATTGTCAATGGATTGCAGAAATGCTGACTTTTGGATTTTTTTTTCCCCTTTCATATGAAAAGATCGGAGTGGTTAAAAATTGCCACTAAACTCTTGAAAAAGGCAGCTCAGACCATAGTTTGATAGCATGTCTGGTTTCACATATACAAAGACAAACAGTTGAATCAAATGAATATGTTTGTTTTCAACTAGCTCAAGTTTACACTCTGGACTTTGTTCAGTGGTGACACGAGGAGAAAATGTCATTTAGAATTCTTTTGCTTGTCAGTCTTACATGATGGACTTGATTGAACTTAGTTACTACACTGAAGCTGTGCTACCTTTCATAGCAGGACATTTTCTAAGTCTAGTCAAAGTACATTTTAGTTCATTGCTTTGTGTAACAAATCAGTTATAAGTTGAGATAAATGTTTAATTGCGTTCATTTTATTGTTCAAAGAACTAAGGCCAGCACTTTGATGCTTTTTTCTTGTTAAAACATTTCACATAAAGTCAGTGTACTTCATGCTGCAGGACCGATCAAATGTAAAAAATATAGGCATAAACATGAGAGAATAGGTAACACAGACTACATATATTAGAATACAGATGAAAGGAAAATGGAAAATCTATAGAATAGAAATATTCAAACTGCTCAAACACATGAGTACACAAATACACACACATACGTACTCAGAAATGAACAACAGACCTGGGAGAGGAGCAGAGAAGGTTCATGTTAGGTGAAGTAAAGCCAGTGGTGCATGAATTATTCTGATTCTTTACTAAGTGCCAATTTCAGTTCTAGCATATGAAAATGCTACTATAACATACTACAATATACTATACTAAAATATACTATACTATACGATACGATACAATACTATACTTTACTATACTATACAACACGATGCGATACGATACTATACTATACTATACTATACTATACTCTACGATGCGATACGAGACGGTACGATACGATACGACACGATACTATACAACACGATGCGATACAATATGTTACTGTACTGCACTGTAGTATACTATACTCTACTATACTATGTTTTGCATGGCTGTACTATACTGTACTGTACTGTACTATACCATGCTATACTATACTGTATTGTACTGCACTATACACTACTATGCTATACTACAGTAAATACACTAGTACAAGGGGAAATGCTGCATTCAAGATATCTCTTTCTTAAAAGCACAAAATCCTTAACAAAATATATTTAGGTATCAGGGTATTGTACCAACTATATATCAAAATAATTGATTTTTATATCAACCCATTAATAGCCTTTAGTGCTGCTGGTTGGGATGGAGCTCATTTGGACTATTCTATATACTGTTGTACACATCAGTCTATTCGGTTAAATGAAGTGGAGTAAAAAACACAATATTATGCACTTTTTATGCAGTGGAGTAAACATGTGAAGTGGCATAAAAAATGAATACTTAAGTAAAATGCAATTAGTGCAGTACTTGAGTAAATGTATTTCGTTTCCTTCCAGCACTGAGCAGAGGGATGCAGTGTTATCCCCAGAGCTGCTCCCCAAAGCTCTCTTCACACATTTAAAGAAGTTGCTCTTTGACCCTCTACCAATATTGTATTTAACATCTTTCTGGCTAAAATAATACGTGCAGTAAATATGAATGTCTGATTTCTAAACAGCGTAGAAAACATCAGCGGCTAAATACGCTCTGCTCCTGGATGTCTGCTGAGTGTTTTACTGGCAGCCTTCTTCTATACTGTCATCACAGCTCTAAAATTCAGCTGACCTGACGGTTATTCTACTCCTTTCCTGTGAGCCAGCACAAACAGGCCTTTTGGGCTGTAGTCATGTGATTTCCTCAGTTTGGTGGACTATTCCTTTTAAATAGCTCACATACAAATGTGCTGTATTCTTCTTATGAGAACTTTTGAAGGTTAGTTCACCTGAATAACACAAACAAACCAACACGTGCATTTTCCACAGTTGTAGCTATTCGAACAGATTTCTGCTTCATTTTCTCAGTTACTGGGATGTTTGTCAGTGAGATTTCTGACCCTAAAAACCAGAGATCAAGGAAATTTTCAATTCAATTTTATTTGTATAGCGCATATTTACAACAACAAGTCATCTCATAGCGCCTAAAAAAGGCAAATTTGTTTGTGCTTCCCTTCTCACTGAGAAAAAAAATACAACCTAAACTCTTTGCTGACATTTCTGCTCCTGTCCAGTTGTGCTCAGCTTTTGCAGACTGTGGGACTGTACATTTTGACAAATTTTAAAATCTGCCAAGTAGAACAAAGTAATTGTATTGAAATGTCATATTAAAGATCAGTTGATTAGAAGATGAGGGAAGGGGAGGGTTGAAAATCTGGAATTTTTTGGGATGATTTCTTGAAAGAAAGATGGCATGCATTTCAAACCTACCAGTAGGTTTTGGGGTTCTGAGGGTTGGCAGCAATGGTTCATTCAAAGAAAGTGTCTCTGTTCTTACAAAAACTTTTAGACCGCTGCTTTCAGTGGTATTTCTTTGGCAGAAAGTAGTTCCTTTTAAAAACTTTAGGTATGACGGTATGCTTCGTTGAACAGCTGAAGTGAAGGCAAAATTAAAAGTTTTTTTTTTTTCATAAATGGGGCATTATAAGCCAAAACTATCTACATAGCCTGTTACCTCTGAAGATACATAAAATCATATTGTTGTTGTCTTGTTTTTCTCATGTGGGTGAGATGATCCTGGCACAGTAGCACAACCAACATTGACTGTACATTTCCTTCTCTGTCCGTCACAGTAGTGATTAGCTGCTGGCTATTAGGGCCCAGAGCGGATCATAAGGTTAACTGTGGTGGTTTTCCACAATACAGAAGTATGTTTTTCTCCTGTTCAAACAACAAAGTTCACTATTAAAAGAGAGATAGCAGAAGCTCAGTTGCCAAAAATGCCCTATTACATCATTGTACTGATGTAATACACAGGCACTTTGCCAACAGCGTGAACATTTTCAACTGCAATTTGCATTAGCCAGATAACTTAAGCTCACAAAAGGGAAGTAAGCAGTTTGAACAGTCCTGAAAGCGACGGTAATCTCACTGATGTGGTCACATTGTTGTCTCATTGAAAGCCTGGATTTTGTACTGACTGCAAACACAGCATTTTTAATTGATATAAAACAGAGTTCAAATCAACATGCTGTAATATCTAATGCATTGTTAGTCGCATCTAATGGCTTCAAAATGAAACAAATGTAAACCATGCTGTCATGTCTTTGAGTTATTTAAAGCAAAACCACCAGACCACTGGAGTCGAGGTTTCTGTTCTGACTGCTACTGCAACAAATGTGCGAAACATTGCAACCTGCCATGCAGCTGGGTATTTATTACCAGGCACAACTGTAGTCACTCAGAAACAAGATCATCTCTTCATATTCCCATGTGAGCACACTGCTTCCTCTAACAACGCCCATGTCGCATTTGACCCTCTTCTTAGTACCTTGTCTTGGTAAAATTAGGCCCCATCGCCCATCTGGTGTGGCAGTTAAAATGAACCTGCACTTAATTCGCATTCTAAGCAGTCAAAGAAGAAAATTAAAGATTAAATAATAATCTCAGGAAAACCACCAGTGCAGAGTATGCATCCAAATCCTCAGCTTGTTCAAAAACTGCTAAAAACACAGAATTCAGTAACACTTTTTGGTCATTGTAGTTCAGTGTCGTCAGTTCCACAGACACACAACCCTGCTGCCATAAATACTCATCTGTCACTGTGTCTTCAGCAAAGGCGGAAAAATATTAGTCACCAACAAATGTCCTATTTAAGGCTCATGGATTAAACGCTACAGTTTTAGAAGTTGTGTAAAAACAAATGTATATACAATATATTTGACCCATTTTTAAAAATATCATTTTATATTAAAACAGCCTTAATATCTAGTAAAAGGTAAATTATAGTGACAACCCCAAGGAGAATTAATCCCAGCTGCAGTTCTTCACGGATCTAGCTCTTTACCATCTTTCAGCTCATTTTGGTTTTACCCAGCACTTCTGTCTGGGTGATTTCCAGCAACTCTAGGCAGCTGATTCTATTGCAAAAGCTCTGATAAACCCACTGACCCCTGCAGTTAATCATTAGGTAGTGTTAGTAACAACAACTTGCCTATTTACCATGACATTACACCGTTCACCAAAATAACTTTTAAAGTGACAGTACGTCAGTGTTAGACTCGTTTGCACTGTAGGGATTTTTGTGTCTTTTTAGGACAGCCTGAACTTTTGTGGGTTTTCTGACCACAAGAACTCTTTCAGGGGAGAACAAAGCACCTACTCCTGGCTACATACTTCTCAGCAGCCCTGAAAAATAATTGGTTTAACCCATAGAGGACAACAAGCACCATTTGTCTGTCCTTCCAATGTCCCCGTTAAGTAGCGGTCTTCTCTCAGACGTCGCCATCGGAGAAGTAAAATTTCATCAAGTAGACTAACATAACAAACTAGCCATGTTGAACTAGAGTTACATCCAGTATTTAACCGCTGTTGTCGTTTTTTTGCACCCTGAGTTGACGTCCTGTTTGAAGCTGTTGGATTCTACACCGAAATAGAACAGAAAGGCTGAAGGTTGATTACGTGGCTGTTCCTGTAAATGTTTACGCCACCTCGCGTCTTCCCAAAGCTCCTGCAGTGAAAAGCAGCCTGTTGTGTTTATAGTTTGTTCTGCTGTCTTCGAGTGAAAAATTATCCATTAACGCAGCTTTAAAGACTTACACATTCAATAGAACCAAACAAGGCTGAGGGCCACAAACAGGAAACCTCTGGAGAACTTAGAGATGAACTCACACATTTTAGATCTTAATGTTTTCATAGCATCAGTTGAAAATTTAAAAAAAAAATCTAGATTATACCAGGCTTGTCCCTCAGATGGTGTAAAGCAAGAGTAGAGCAGCTTTCTGTTTAGTGCCATAAAGCAACCTCTGTTAGTGCAAAACAATGTTCCCTAAAGCAAACTGATCTTCTCAACAACAGCTTCAGTTATTCACTGTAATGAAACCCATCATGTGTCACAAACCTCATGCAGTCCTCTCGGTGAACCAGCCAGTGTTTCTGCAGTCAGTTTCTGGTGACTAGCTTCTAAAGCTGAGGTAAGATACAAATGAATCCTCCATTACCACTGCTGACCTTTGGCCTTGTTTTGTCTTTGCAGCCACACAGGCCCTCTGACAGGAGGACTCGACACTCCATCCATCCCCTCATCTTCTCCGCTGCCTCCACCTTCGCTGCCCTCTCTCCCTCCAGCCCGGCCATGTCGACCCAAACCACCACCTCCTGCACTGAAGTCCTCCCAGCTCCCCTCTCGGCCTACTTTGCCTCCATCTGCCCCACCGTCCCTCCCCCCTCCCCTCCCTCCCGTCCCTGCTCCATCTCCCTCTCAATCGTCCAACCCTCTCCTCCCATCTCTTCCTCCCCCTCTCTCTCCTATTCTGGTCTCTCCTTCCCCACTGCTCTCTCCACAGCCCACCATCTCCTCTGATCTGACTCCCTCCTCTCCTCTTCCCCCTCCATTATCTCCTTCAGTCTCATCCTCCTCTTCCTTGCCACTCTCTCCTCCACCTCCCCCTGTGATCCCCCCATCCTCACCAGCACCTCCATTGCTGAGTTCTATAGATAAGCTGGTTGGGAGCACCTCTGTGTGGCAGCCCAAAGGACTCAACCAAGACCAAACCACTAGTATACTGGAGAAAGAGACAGCTGGGGTGAGACACACACTTGTACAGTTTAAAGTCATACATCTCTGATTCTTGGATGTCTTTTGGCAATCAGCTGGAAAGATTTAGCTTGTCATGATATTCTTAAAACTTCCTCTGAATTGATTTTATGCAAATTTTGAAATAACACAAACAAAATTCTGTGCAACTTGACATTAACTAAAGATACTAAACATACAATTACCAGATATGTATTGGAATTTTTAGTTGGGAATTTATGAGCAGCTGATTAGTTCCAGAAGAATTCCCCGAATCAAAGTGTTCAGGTAGTTTAACATAGCGAGGAATCAATCATGCAGTGTCTTTAATTTTGAAGTTCAATGAGAAAACTAACAACAGTTCCACGTACGTGCATTAAGTTTCATACAATGTCACACAGCCTGTGAAGCCTGAGCAGCAAGATAGCAGAGCAGCAGCAAGTGCTTCAGGCTCAGTTCACATCTACATGAGATGCATTCTCAGGCACAGTGTTGTAAGCAGGTCACCCACATTCTGGCAGCAAAAACTCCAGCTCACAAACCCTGTTGTTAGATGCATAAAATGGAAGAGAACAGACTATAGTGTATAGCAGTTTGGTGTGATGTGCATGTAGCCTGTGTGGACAGATGGATCGATTAAAACAGAAGTCTGTCAGTTCCATCAGAAACATGTGAGACCGATAAGGAATCCAGCTGAACAGCCTCAAGTGTGCAGAGATGTAGAGCAACAGTAGCTATAGCTCAGCTTAGTATAAAGACAGGAAATAGAAGGAAACAGCTTCGCCAAAGTATAAAATACACACCCAATAAATCTTAAAGCTGCAGAAGGCGGGAATCTGACAATAGCAACGATAACAACAACAACAATAAAAAGCCAAACTTCTCCCATAGCATGAACACAAGCCTCAAACAGAGGTCAGCGTTCATTCATTTATGGCTTAATCCAGGATTCAAACTCTGCTCATACCCTGCTGAAAGTCTTCTTTTTAACCAACCGCAGCACCAAATCCTCTCTTATTTTGTACTTTATTGCCATTTATACCATCACCTGATCTGGGTGAAAAGCCCTGTGATTGGCAGAAGTCTTCCATCATGGGCTAGATATTTCAAAAGCCTGAAAACAAAAGCCCGAAGGAGGTGCACAAGTGTAGTTTTCTCTCAGAGCCATGTAAATAACAATATGCTATTTTTTGCCCAATAATGCCAAAAAGAATACTGCCCCAGCTTTAAGTTTAGTAATTAACATGTTGCATCTCATCTGTTTGATCGCACAGACACAGACGGGTAAAAACAATCATTTGTGGTTTGAAGGCAAGTTACATAGTTTTCTGATTTCATCACAGAGATGTTGCCAGGCAACCAGCAGAAAGGCTGGAATTGCAGTTGTCTTTAATTACATAGTCCTTTCCAGGAATTTCCACTTGCGTATTATTTTCTTTCTAAGAAATTACTGGACACTGGATTAGTAATTTGGAAAGCTGCAGCACAATAACTGACCTTACACACAAGCTGTAGTTTGTGTATTGTTTTACCAGTGGTTTTGAAATGTGATACAAGAACTATTAAATTGTAGCAAAATAATTGGCTGCATTGCTGCATACTTCATGTGTACTTAATTTTGTATTTCTCATCATCATTTTTACTGCGCATCCCCAGGCCTCAAAGTCATATCTGCTCATGTTTACATTGCAGGCATTCCTGGTTCACAGTACAGAGGACAAGACCACAATGATATCAGTACGCCTGCCTGACGAGCACGGAACACAGCTCGTACACAACCTGCTGGTCAAACATCACAAGACATGTACGTGTTACACGCTACAGCAGTTTCTTCCTCTGACTGCTACTATTAAAACTTGAGATAGTGGAAAACTAATTGAAGATTTGCATGGCTGAGCACAGATAACATGGCAGAGTAGTTACTGATTTATTTTAAATTGTTTTCTGTCTCAGTTGTCCACTTAGATGGTTCCTCTCTGGTTTTTGATGACATCGTAAAACTAATCTCCTTCCACTGTGCTAGCAGGTAACACATACACACACACATGCATGTATATATTGTATGCACTAACACAAAAATATCATGTGGTACCATGTGTACAACAAGGACTCTGCACAAATATCTGTAGGAATATTATCTACAATAAACAAATATATGTCAGCACACATATATGTACATATAGTACACATCCAGATGTAACATGGAAACCATATGGCACACATTTCCATAAATATACACACACATACACAGAGCCACAAAAAAAGCAAGCCTGAGTTATGTCGAGTTGTTATAACTACCTGCTTACATTCAGTGCTCAGTTTTTCTAATGTACTCCACCAATCAGGGACATCCTGTCTGTACCACTGAGGTTACCCCAGGCCATTACCACGGCAACTAAGAGAGAGGAGCTGGAGGTCATCTCTGCTATGGGTGCAGGTATATAAATCTACATCACTAGTTCATTAAAGTTGGTCAATAAAATATGGATGATAAATGGAAATGTATCAATAATTTTATTCAGCAGAACTAGCTAAAGGAAAATATATGAAAGACATACAGACGTTTCACTGTACACTTTGAAAAACCCAGTGAATGTAAAACATTTCAACCACTCACACAAGCAATTTATATGTAACCAAGAAAAAAACAACATGCCTATCCACATTAGACAATGAGGCAAATAAATGTGAGGCTGCAGCCCAATGATGATTGGTTTAGCCTAAGACAAACACTGAAACAAATTATATTTTGTTTGTTTCATCTATACAAGTACTGTAATGTCAGTTTAGGGTATACAGATGTTGTGTGCACAACTTTTTGTGTTGCTGGATGCAGTGACTTGCTAAAATGATAACAAGACTCTAGAAAATCCCTTCACGACTCTCATGTTCAAAAGTCTAGTTTGTAACGTTTTTTTTTTCTTCTCCCCATTCATGTATGTGGAGAGCCAATGGGAAATTAGCCAGCCAGCAATATGAGGGTGTTGCAGCACACATGCTCTGTGGACCCAATAGGCAGCATGAGGAAGCCTGCAGAGCATTTTTGTCCTGTAATCATAAGGTTGCAGGTTCAATATCAGATTATTCCTGTATGCATTTCCTGAATTGTACAAGCTTTAGCAACTGCACGCAAGCTGCAGCAGCTTTCAGCAATCACATTGCAAATTGTCCAGGAATTGCTCATTCTATTGTAAAAGATCAATAAGGTATCTATCTGTGTCGGGGCCAAGGAATAGTCAAGCATGTATGTCAGCAAACAATATTGATCTTGACATTTAACTCTCAGCATATTTCCAGCACCAAACGTATTTCCTTGACTATTTGTTTGATCCTGCAGCTAAATGTGATGGAGGCTTGTGAAGGTTTGTTGGACCAAATAGCATCTTTTAAGGAACTATTTGCACCTATGGCCATGTTTTAGGTGTGTGTTGGCCTGCAATAGACAGTAATAGACAAATGGTTCAACCAATTACCTGCCAATTGTTTTTTACATGACCTGTCCTTTTCCAAACAGCTTCCAAGGACACCTTGGTTCTGTGTAAGGCCAGTGTTGTACTTTCCCTACCACTGAGTCTGCGAGGTTCCATTTGGATACGCATGACATGTATTTCATCAACTACCCAAGTCCATAGGTGTCTGTGCAGACTGCTCCGTGGACATACAAATGCAGACCCAAATTTATGTCCACACAAAGGGCAAGAGTGCTTTTGCTTTGTAGTTGTGTGCATGAGCAGAATCCCTAGATACAATCTACTGCCATGCATAGAACCGGGTGCTCCCTGGAGACTACTGCTGACTGGAAACGTAGAATAACAACAACAAATATGTGCAGAAAGTGAACTTTGTGCCAAGAACTTTTTGTGTTAAATAGCTATTTCCAAGGTCAAAATAGACCATCAAGCTCAGTCTAAGATGTGTCCATATGGTTATATAATGTCACAGATGATTAAAAGGAAATAAAAGGAAACACATTATTATAATCAAGAAATTGACTGTAAATCAGATTTTTAAAAAGCACAAAGCAACTTTCTGAACATGGACTGCCTGTGTTGCAGATTTCTGGTCATCTGACCTGAACCATCCAGCTAAGGACCGGGACCTGGTTTTGGATCAGAGCCACACCACTCAGCCTAGTATGTACTTGTATGTCAACCCAGTCATAGTGGAGGAGAGGCCCGACAAAGACCTGAACACTCCTTCTACCTCCAAACCTGATGCCACAACCATTCCAAACATCACCTCCTCCCTGCAGAATGGAGAAGCCTCACCCAAAGTCACCCCTCAGGTCAAAGGTCACACCAAAACCACATCCAACCCGGAGATTAAGTACAAGCGCCCCCCACCTCGACCCCCCAGCCTGGGCTCGGGGTCCGGGATGGGCCTCCTCTTCTCCTCTCCCCCCTCAGTGCAAACGTTATCTTCTGCAACTCCAGAAGCTGAGAAAAAAGAGGAAGGAAGGGGAGGAGTAGGGGAAAGAGAAGAGAGGAAGTCAGTGTCAACATCACCTCCTCCGTTGAGGCCTCCTGTCCCCCCGCAGAGCCGAGCTGCTCCCCCTCTACCTCCTGCTCCTCTCCGTCGCACCTCTTCCAGGAAAAGCACTGACCGAGAGGTAGGAGAGGGGACGGAGAGAGAGAAGGGACAAAATCCTGCAAAGAAAACTGAGAGAGAGGGGGGAGGAGAGAGAGGAAAGGAGAAAATGGGAAGTAAACCAGGTCTGCTGGGTGCCCAAGAGAACAGTAGTCAACAGCAAGAGGAGGAGGTAGACAAGGACGGAGGAAAGAGAAGGAGAGATGATGAGAAGGAGGAAAAAGAGGTGAAAATTGAGAGGGAGGACAAACAAAAATCTAGCCCCCAGTGCCCGCCGCTGGGAAAGAAACCCTCCCGTCCAGTCCCTCCTCCAAGGACCAAACCTTTTTCCCCAGAGTCACCTGCAGGCGCCAGCCAGGCAGGAGGAGGATTAGCCAGTCAGAGAATGCCCCCTCCACCTGCCGCAAGGCGGCCGGATGTGTCATTGTACTCACCACAGGGGGGCGCTGTGCTGGCAACGGACCCTGACTCCTGCTCTGCCAGCAGCACAGAGGAGGAGGCTGAGCTGAACCAGGAACAGGAGCAAAACAAGTAAGTGTGGACCTGTCCCATGGCTGCATTACCGGGGCTCATGTAGCACAACTACTTATCGTGGCCACAAACATTTCTCAGGGGACACTCGCGTGATTGCATTAAAAAATAAAAATAAATCTCCTTTGGACGACATAATATTAACTTATTCTTCGTAGCATGAATTTTGAATCTACGGAGGTTTCTTATTTGTAAATCCTCCCCAAAGTGAGTTGTGCTTTTACAGTATCATCCCATTGGAAAGTCTACATGCTGTGGGAGATACAGGCGTGGCCACGGGCAGTAGGCCTGCACTACACATAAGCAAACCAGGATACTAGAAAACTTTTTGACTCATACATTAGATGCAATTTAACACAACACACAGTTGACTAAATCGACCCTTGATGCACAAGTGTGCTATTACTACTTTTAAGCTAAGTGTATCCCACAATTCACCACTGTCTACAGTGTTACACACCAGTTCAACTGGTTGTGTGTATCAGTTGTAATTGTTGGTATTTAGTGGCTTTAAGACTTCGTAAAAATCTGGAAAAAAAAAAACAAGACTTTATACGGTATGCGAATATGCAAAATAATAAAATGAAGAAAAAGCACTGCACATATACACAACCATAATACCATATCTTATTCAGAACATAACGATCAGAAAGAAATGTTAATTTTATTTGATTTTTTAACAAAAAACTAAAAAAAATTATTGCAGATTTTAATTTCATGGTGAAAATGGAAAACAATCCTCAAGACAGGACAACCACTGGTATCTGTTTTTTTTGTTTGTTTTAAAGGCAGTGTGTTGTCTGGAATTATTAATTTTGAGCCAATTTAACATCCATCCATCCATCCATCATCTACACACCACTTCATCCTCACTAGGGTTGTATCCCAGTCGACTTAGGGAGAAGGCAGGGGACACCCTGGACAGGTCACCAGTCTATCACAGGGCTACACTTAGAGACAGACAACCAAGCACACTCACATTCACACCTACGGACAATTTAGAATCAACAATTAACCTCAATATGTTTTTGGACCTTGTGGGAGGAAGCCGGAGAACCTGGAGAGAACCCACGCTGCACGGGGAGAACATGCAAACTTCACACAGAAAGATCCCAGGTGTCCTCACTGGAATGCAAACCAGCAACCTTCTAGCTGCGAGGCAACGATGCCAACCACCAAGCCACCTTGCTGCCCCGCAAATTTAACGTGTATCAGATAAAAAATACTCCTAATTATGGATATGGACCATTTCCAGGAAAAAAACATAAATCCTTATTTATTTAACCCTTACACAATCTACACAGACATTAAATCCTTATTAGCAAGTCTGTTCTTTATGATGGGACTGATACTGGGGGATACAATATTTAATCAAAAATTTTGAGCAATGTGTAGCTTCGTTCAAGTTTTTCAGGAAGAAACTATTTCAAATTATATATGCTATGTCTTCTTTAGATACAGTCTCTGTGATTTTAGTTAACTCATTTAATGTCTTCATTAACTGTAGTAATCCTCCTGAATGATTCTTACTGCTACCTGATTGTGACTGTAATACTGTGTTGGTGATACTATGTGGTCCAGCTAATCATCTGAGCTGAACTGTGCCAAGTACCATTATTGGACCTTGAATGTCCTACTGATCTCTGATAAACCTCCACAAGCTTGTGGTCTTTACAGGCACTTGGACACTCTGGCAATTACCATAGTTATATCACACAAGTATGCACCTGACTACTTAGAAACAGTGTGTAATGGACTCCTAAAATAGCTGCTGTAGAGGGGCAAAGTAATGGTCCAACTGACCAAGCCCAGCCTCCCTTAGTTACTGTTGCTACACACATCCAGCTGTCTGTTCTTGCAGGGCTCATATGCTTAATCTACAGATTCCAGGTTTTCATTCCAATGTAGTGCAAAGTTAAAACAAGTTCACTTAAAATCAGCAAAGAAAATTAACATACACATTTACAAATATTGCAAATTTCTGCAAATATTGAGTATATGGGAACAAACACTTGATGCTGCTGATTCTGCAGCCACATGCCATTAAAGCATTGTGGAAGGCTGTTGTCCTGGACCAACAGTAGCCAAGCTTTCCTCTCCTTTTTTCTTTGATTTCTTCAAACATTTGTGTTTTTGTGGACAGTGATATAAAATGGTCGTTACACTCCTTGTTTGTGAGGCCAAGAACTTTTTGAAGTACCCTCATAATGGTTGAAAATTCCCCGAGACACTGGTTCCTTAAACACAGAAAGACACTTCTCAGTTCAAGATTTTATCAGCTGCACATGCTCAGTTAGAACGTCATCTGGTTGCAGACCTCTTCTATACGTGGCACAAAGGCTGAGTTGTGGTCGCTGAGTTATCAGGGTAGAGGTCATCCACTGACGACAGGCAAACAAGCTGTAACTGGGTTCTTATTGGTAGTTTCATATTCTTGGCTTAACTTGGGTCCTTACTACACATCTTGTAGTTAAGAGAAGACCCTTTTCACAATACTGCAGTACATATAAGGTTAACGGGTGATACACACTTACCAAGCACTGTATTAAGAGCACCTATTAAAATGGCTCGGGCCTCCCTTTGCTCTCAAATCAGCCTCAAGATGTCCCTGAGATTCTGCTCCTGTTGACATAATTTACTTCATCATTTCTGCTGATTTGTCAGCTGCACATTCATGCTGACAATCTCCTGCTCCACCACATCCAAACAGCGTTTTACTTGATTCAGATCTGGTGACTAGGGATGCCATTAAAACCAGTGTGAGATGGCTATTGCTTTGTTGCAGTGTGCATTATCCTGCTGGAAGCCACCACTAGAAGATGATAAAATGTGGCCATAAAGGGATGCACATGATCAGCTACAATGCTTTGACAGGCTGTGGCATTCAAGTCCTGACTGACTGGCAATAAGAGACCCAAAGTGTACCAAGAAAATATTTCCCACACCATTACACCAACAGCAGCAGACTGGACTCTGGTTCAGGGCTTCATGCTGAAATAAGATCAATCAGACCGGTCAACTTGTAGTTCAGCTATTCATGCAAGTCATAGATTGAGGTGTCAGTGGTTTATACTAAATGTAAAAGTCTGTTTCGTTTTGGTTTTATGAGGCATGTTAGTAGATAAAGTAGAGTAAGAGGAAGATGGGCTCAGAATAGACATCAATGGTTCACCAAAGCTCTCACGAGCAAAACGTGACACAGAGTTAACGAATAAAAACAAATCTATAATGAGACACAAGTCACTCAACAGCAGTCCAAAACAAGCTGCTTATAGAAAAATATCTATATTTCTACCCTTCGACAGGGTAGAAATATAGATATTTTTCTTTACCACATTATTTTGGAAATGTTTAAACAGTTAAGACAATTAGATTAAAAGTTAAACACCACATAAAAAATGTTGAAATGCTGACAAATGGAGAGACAAGACTTTGCTGTTCTTTCATTCCAGATTAATGCTGTTCGATCAAAGGTGTTTATGTGGTTTCACTCTTCCTCACTGTGTGGTCTGAAAGTGGAACCAGTAGATTTTTAGCTATTTTTTCTATAACTATATTGCTTGAGTCCAAAATGAAACTTGCCTGCCAGTAGTTCAGATGTTGAGTCACAAGTTTTATGCTTGTAGTGGCATCTCATGTAAGTGAGGAATCTGAAGCAGAGGTAAAGGTCGACCTACAGTCTGAGTCTGCTTTGCTCAGTTCTTTCTAACTTCACACTCACACTTTTTTGTAATTTTTGTATTTTTATTTTCTGTCTTCATCTACAACTGACACTGAAGTAACATCACTTTAGGGGATTTATCAGATTTTGCACAGCTCACCAGGTAACAACAGACTTTAGACGACATTTTGCACACATGCCTGTTGTACCTGGAAACCGTGGTTCTCATGTCGGCACATCACATCCTGCACTTAAGGCTGTGCCTCTCTTCTATTTTTAGGATCAATGCTGTATTTCCTGTAATAACAGTGGCTCCGTGTGAATATTACTCTAGAAGAAGTGTTGTGTTGAAACACTTGGTTACACATTTAAGGAGTCCCTTTGGAGGACCTTTTTTTTTGTTTGTTTAACCGTGTTAACATGTCCATGTGGTGTTTTTTTATGCTTGAAGACACATCATTGCAAAATAAGCAGTCAGAGCATTTCTACCCAGAAACTGCATCGTACCAATGACAACTGGTTCCTGGTTGAATATGGGGGGCTGAATTGCTCCAAGTGTTCTAATTTCATTGTGTAGCAGAGAGCAGTTTTACAGTGTTCACACAGAGTCAGAGGTGTGCAAACGAGGAGGGGTAAACGCAGAGAGAGAACGAAACTGTACAGAGAGGAAGCCCAAGTGTGGACTGACATCTAAGTCATCTAAAGGCAGAAGGGCAATATTTTCATGGAAGAAACTTTAAATATGTAGTTTTCATGCACAGAGAGGAGTTTTTAGGAGTACGGTCAATGACTGGAGAGAAACTGAACTAGAAAAATTAACCAGTTGTAGTCATTTTAGCAAATATACAAAGGCATGTTGGTTCTTAGATTTCTTGCCCAGAAACTACAAAGGCATTGTCAAGTATATGTAGAGTAGGTACACAACCAAAGTGAAACACTGGAAGACACTTTATACAGAGTTTAAATTAATGTAAAGTTTTTAGATAAATGCACAAATGCACTTCTCTGTGCAGGAGGACTTTATAATCGGTTGGTACCACCACGCTGGTCAAAGGACATTCCAAGTCATTAGGCATGCTTTACTGAAGGTTTCTATATATAAATGTCTCTAGAAGCATCATGTGTCACAAGGACACCGAATCAGTCAATAAGAGATGAAGACAAACTAAGCACTTGCTGCATGTTTGTTTCCAGTCGCATTGCAGAGAGCCGCAGTCCCAAAGCAGCAGTGAGGAGAACCCCTACCACCGTAATGTTGGACCGAGCTCGCTACCGCCTGTCCACCGTCCTCACCGGACTCATCAGCCATGACCGCCGCCTCACACAGCGCATTGTAGAGATGGCCAGGGACCCTCTGAGCTACTTTGGTAACCTAGTGAGTACACAAAGGGAGAAAGACTCTCACCTGTCTTGTATTTTGAGTTCAGCTACAAGCGGATATGGTCAAATTTCTTAACACATAAAGATCAAACTAAATGGAAAAAAGTTTTTTTTAAAAAGAGTTCATGCTTTGTTTTTAGGTCAAAGAGCACCGTGCTTTCACCTTGGAGACAATGTCAAACCACCCTTCCTCCACTGAGCTGCTACAGGAGATCAGACAGATGATGACTCAACTGAAGAGTTACCTGCTGCAGAGTACAGAGCTGCAGGCCATGCTGGAGCCACAACATCAGTACACACAGGACAAACTGGGTAACATGACGGCTATGTTCTGGTATTTACTATGTAGTGTTAAGTGAAACTGGCTACACGAGGAAAATTGTAGAATTGTCATTTCCTTTTATATTTTACTCCATCATGGGGAGAAGAAAAGCCCTGATGATGTTGACTTGGGTTTGGAAACTACAAATCTATGTCACACACAGGGTTGATCAAATGGAAAAATATAATTTAGTTGCACTATGGGAAATGTAGGATCCTGACCAATACTATGGACTAACACTTAGGTCAACTTGCTGCTTCAATTGTAATCATTTTTTTTAACCTATTGTTTGTAAATTAGATTTTTGCCGTTAGTTAGCCTGTTTTCCATTTAGCGAGGTGGAAATCAGGAATGAACTGAATAAGTTATGCATGTCTTTGCAGAGAGCATTGCAGAAGCTGCTCTGTGTAAGAGTGTACTGAAGCCACTGAGGGAACCGATCTACCAGTGTCTGGAGAAACTGCACGCCAATGACAGCAGCCTGAAACAACTGGCACAGAACCAGGTGGGACTGAGGAGTAACAAGTGAAAACTGCTGTAAATTTTATCGTCAACATTACAGTTGCATTTCAGCTGCATGAGACTACATTTAGCTCTTTACAGTACGATCATGTTAATATCAATAATAGTAGGAGTAGCAGTCCTGATGCTAATGGTGTATGTGTTGCTGTGTGTCAGTCTGTTGTCTTGGGCAGCACCACTACAGCATTAGGAGTAACCACTGCAGTCCCTGAGGCCTCTGCCATGGAGAAGATCAGCATCAAACTGAACAATCTCCACCTGGAGTATTCTCCTCAGAAGAAGATTGAGATGCTGCTGAAGGCCTGCAAGATCATTTATGACTCCATGTCTGTCAGCAGTCCAGGTCAGAACCCTGCCGGTCCTTAAAGTTTTTTGCAGACATACTTTACCTCACCTGCCATGTTTATCATTTCTTGTTTGTGTTCCAATGAATGTATTTAGAGACCTGCGTACTCTGTTTCAGGACAGTGCTTCATTCCTGCAATAAATTGTGCTCACTTGGTGCATAGACCAAAGACATCGTTCAGACTTTCTTAGCTGTCTGTGGTTTTGCCTGTAATAAACATGAGCATTAGAATCCTTTGGTTGAGCTCTGGCTAATATGCTTCTGTTTTTTTCTTGAACTTATTTTTTTAAATTGTGAGACTAATGTCTTTCTGGGCCAGTGGGCATCACACAAATGGCAGTTCCAATTGTGGCCACTATGCCAAAGTCACCATTGTTCCTCTGGAGGCTTGTGATGGTCCCTTTCCACTCACTCTCAGCCAGGATGCCTAATGATGGCATCCTTATAACAAACAAATGAGGAGAATCTTGAGAAATGGGGGAAAACTCAATCATCTTTCAACTGTGACTGCTGGACCATTGACTGTATGTAAAAAATCTGTCTGAAAAGGGAAGCCAAGGCAGAAGTACCTTAAGCCAGCATTCTTTCTAACAGTCTATGAGAAAATAACGTAATTTCTCCTCATTGCTCTGTCACTATTTTCCTAATGAGTGTTTGGTTTTGGTCTCTAGCTTCAAGTCTCCTTCAATACAGCATGATGCTCGTTTAGAGAATGACGTGTCAATATTAAATAATAGATAGTAGAGCAGATTATGTTTCAGGGTGGGGCTGCCTTGTGACTGACAAGTTGCTACTATTTGGGTGTCCATAGTGTCTACAAGTTCTCAGTCAGATCCACCTCTCGCTTGTAATGTCTGTTTTCAAAAACTGTGATAGTGATGGCAAAATTCCAGAACTGGACTTTTCCAAATGGTCCACAAACCAGTAGATGGTGTACCATCTTTTACATACAGCCTATTCTGTGAGAACAGTCGCCATCGCAGTTGCAGAAGTTTTTCTACTTCACTATCAAATCCTGAGGGAGGCAGAATATTAACAGTTTATTTTAAAAAACACACATGTTGGTACAAAACAAATTGAATGTACCCTATTGAAAAACTAATGCGTGTGTGTGTGTGTGTGTGTGTGTGTGTTTAGGGCGGGCCCATGGCGCTGATGACTTCCTGCCTGTAATGATGTATGTCCTGGCTAGATCCAATCTGTCTGCCTTGCAGCTGGATGTTGAATATATGATGGAGTTGATGGACCCGTCATTAACACTAGGAGAAGGTACGCCCACACACGTATACATGCAATACATGCAGTTTAAATTAATTAAATGTTAGTATTTCTTGGCATATCTATATCTTAGTGACATTGCTGCCCTTGAGTGTGTAAGTGTGTGTGTGTGTGTCTATAGGTTCCTATTACCTGACCACCACCTATGGGGCACTGGAGCACATTAAGACTTTTGACCAGCAGAGGTCAGCAACACGGCAGCTCAGCAGAGAGGTGCAGGACTCCATTCACCGCTGGGAGAGAAGACGCACACTCAACCAAGAACGCATGGCCCAAGGATCTGTTCGGGTACACACACACACACGCACACACACACACACACACACACACACACACACACACACACACACACACGTGAGCACACCATCAGAAGATCATTCCATCAAGTAGAAAAGCAGAATTTACTAAATGAAGAACACAAGACTAATCAGCGTAGACATAGCAACATTTTACAGTGGATGATTTAAAAAGTCCTGTTTACTGATAAATCCCAGTTAGAAAAGAGTGTCATTTAACAGAAGGGTCAATGCAAGGAGACCAGCAGGAGAGAGAATGATACCACAGTAGATCAAACCCACAATGAAACATGCTGCTGGGAATATTCAAGTCTGGGGAGGTTTTGCTCCCCTGAAGACGGATACTTTTAAGGCGTTGACGCCCCGCTGGCCAAGCTGAAGTAACACTCCACTGCTCAGAGACATGCCTCACCCTCTGGTTTGCATCTTTGTAGAGAAGGTTTCATATTGCAGCAGAATAATGAGCCCAAACACGCCTCGAAGCCTTGAAGACCAAAGAGTGCCGACTGTCATGACTTTCCTCTGCAGTCACCTGACCTCAGCTACTGAACATTTATGAAGAACGTGAAGACAGAGAAAGACTCGCATTCTTGACATGACAAGAAGTTATTTGGAACATTGTTGCATCACGCTTTAATACCATGGCCTATGAGGTTTTAACTTGTGGAGTCCATGCAGTTGTAGTGCTGCTGTCAATAAACCTACTCTTTTGTCATTTCTGGATTTGCTTTAAATTCAAAATTAATATAAAACAGAAGCTCTCGAATTTTTGGCTCTCACTGTATGAACAGATCTTATATTTCAAAAGAAAGAACTGAAAACAGAGAAGTGTAGAAATATCAGAGCTGTCGGTGTGACAGGAAACACTCACACTGACTCACACAGAAAACAAGCTGAGTTGACTTACTACAGTAATCCTTGTTTAATGTATGCATGTGTGTGTGTGTGTGTTCCATAGGACTTCCTGACAGTGTGCTGTCCTGAGATTGGAGAAAACCCAAAAACATTGGGTGTCCTACCCACAACAACAATTGAACAGCTAGCTGAGCAGTGTGCTGCACGCTTCGAGCAAGGTAAATCTCAGATTTCTTTTTGTACTTCTTTCATTTACAATTTTTAAAAAGGGCTATTCCCATGTTCCTCAATGAAGCTGGAGAACCAACAGCAGATAAAAACAAAATGGATCAACATGGCAAAGCTGCTCTAGATCCACAGAAGACATGTAACTGTTTTCACAGGCTGAGTAGGACTTCCCATGATGATTGAACTGATCTTTGTGAGGAAGATCGTTTCAGCAGCCCTTTGCTTGTTTTAATTAAAGTGCAAAAAAGATAGAAAACGATTGAAGATTAAAGTAACTTTAGAAAAAAATAAGAGATGGCAGTAGAATAAAATAGACAAAATACGACTAAAATTATGGACTGATAAATGATAAGTAGGACAGGTTGAACCCTGAACATTTTGGGAAATATGCTTTTTAATGGCATAAGAAGAGTGGGAAGTATAGCGCAGGAAGGAAAGGGAAAACCTTAAAAAGCAATATTTAATTGACGGAACCATGCGAGCTACTTCCTCCTGCTTCCAGTCTCTATACTAAGCAAGACCAAACTACATCCTGATGTCACTTCAGCTAGCTTCATGCTGACTATAAAAATAACTGTTGAGGTAACTGTTAATGATGCTGCTACTATTTTTAGTTCTGTTAAGAAGTTATATTTGAGTCGTGCTAAGCTGATGTGAAGAATGTGTTCTTTGTATGTGATAGTGTCATTATCACTACATTTATGTTGTCAGTAGACAATGTCATGTCTCTTTGTTTCTCCTTCCCAGAGTCCTACATGCTCAGTGTGTATATGGATGATGTTCATCAGCCCATGGCTCCTACAGAACTGGCCCTCAGTGTCAAGAACAGCTGCCAACCAGGAGCCTACTGCTTCGTCTATCACCCAATCGGCAAATCCAACTTCCAGCCCAGCCGCAGCTGCCCCACTGACCCTCCTCCAGCTCCACCTGCACAAAGCTTCTTCCCAGCTGACATGGCAGCTGACGGTACTGTAGAGCCAGAGGCGGAAGAGGAGAGCCTGATTAGCTTGTAACTGCCCTAGCATCACAGTGGCAGCTTCTGCATCGCCATGGTAACTACATTCCAGTGGCCGACAGCGTTATTGTGGTGCGCACATCTACACGGTAGTGATACAAAAGCAAAAATTTAAGAATGTGTTTTAATCTCAGGTCTCACTTGAAATGTTGATCTAAAAAAACACAAACACAAAACAAGTACAACTGATGTGAACTGCTGCGTGCAGGGTGACATAATATACCTTATGTGATGAAGCACATAATTTTATATGAGCTTAACTGTCTGACTGCTCTGATGCTACATGCTACACATACAACAACAAAAAGCAGTGACTAATTAAAAGGAGACAAAGAAGACATAACAGACTTATTTTGTATCTAAACATGGGGTCTGGAACCCCAGGGACTGCAGGAGGAGGTGGTTTTATAGAATGTAAAATACGTGTATTGCTAACATACATATATATAATCTTGTTTGTATTGTTTACACTTTAGTATACTTGATGCTACTGTCTCTGATGTTCAAGCTTTCTGCTTCAAACAGTACTGGACCATAAAATGACTGTTTTACTTGTTAACAGGATGAACCTATAATTTCTACATAAAAGTCCACCACATTTCCATCCGTTTTACTTTGTGAAAAGCAGATGCTTGAACACCTTCAATGGGAAAAAGCCTTTGCAACAGTATGTATTTAAAGCACAGGTTTGACAGCAGCTATATGGACCAAAATCCCCAGTAAGCATCATGAAGTTTTATTGCACACTCATTTTCTATACTGACCTTTTTGTAAATAAACACCATGTTGCAACTTGTTGATGCCGTTTCTTGGTTCTTTTGTACGAAGGAGAGAGCACAAATGAGAGAAAGAAGTAATGAGAGAAGAAAATAATTACAATAAATCTTAAGGAAACCGCAGTCATTACTGACAGAAATACTAAAACATATGTAAATCTGGATAATGTGTAATTGTTGGTGAGCCAGCTGAACCTACAAGACTTGACAGATCAGAGGTCTGTGCTATGAAGCAGGATTTTGGTTCAGTGAGGTATCTTCAAGTTCATCTCTGGATTTTGATGAGTACATCACCATGGTAACCTATACACCACATCTAACCTGTTCTGAAGCAGGTCATGTTAAAGATATCACGTATAAAAGTGCCTCCTCTGATCAATCAGTTCTCTTGGATAATGGTACCACAGTTTGTCAAAGATCCTGTGGAGCCTTGTGCACAGATACTGAGAGAGTCTCTGTAGATGAAGAGTTTTTCAAGATCTTCATTCCCTGACGAGCCTAGATATGAGATCCCCAGCAGGAGGGAACTCAGTCATTTTTACTTCATATTTATTGTACAGTGATTACATCACTGATTACATCACTGTACAAAGGCCTATAGAACAATGGAACAGCTTGCAGCAAATAGGACAAAAATAAGGCATGGAAGAGTGGAGCTCCTTCCACCAAGAATCTAGATTTCTCATTTCTGTGCTCGTTATTTAGGGAAAGCAAAGGGTTGCGACGGTCCCTAAAGACTCTTATCCTTCTTGAGACCTTCTCACTATCTGTGCACCAAGCTCGACAGGATATCCAGGAATAGTGATGCCATTTTTCAATAGAATTGATTGGTTAGTAGCCAGTGTTTTTATATATGTTGATCTATCATGTCAAACATAATCCTTTCAGGAGCAGATTAGGTGTGCAGCATAAGTTACTGTGGTGATGTACCCCAGTAAGAAGTGAACATCACTGTAACCCTATATACCCAGGGTTAAACCTAAAGTCACCACACTAACCCTAAATCCTGCTCCATAGTACTGGCTCAGAATGCAGCACACTGATTGGCTGGACACTACCCAGGTTCTACCTTTATTCGAGCTCATGGACCGTGTGTCCTCCACAGCTCACAGTAGCTGCTGTGAGCACAGAGGTCTATCATCCTCCAACTCCAACTCTTGCTTTAGCTCAGCCTATGACTTTCCTTCACACTGTTGCTGTTTGAGGGATGTATTGTTTTGCATACTTCTGTCTCCTTACAACCTTTGGATTCTATATGTAGTGGGAGCATCTGTGTCTGGGAAAGTTTGATATTTCCAGATGGCCCTTGAACACACCATCAGATTTAGGTCAGCTCCTCCCATTGCCCAGCCCCTGATTGAGGGTATTTAAAGCACCTGTGGCATCATGGCTGCCCTGTTGTCTCTGTTTGAGTGCCACATGGGCTCCTTTCGACTCTGAGTCTTCCCTGTGTACTGGTGTCTGTTTGGTTGAGGTTTATGCCAAGTTTGCCTGCCTTGGCTTAATGTGGATGTTGCTTATTTCCCTAGTATCCGTGTAGCAAAGACCGTTACACCAAGGGTTTTATCAGCTGCTGTTTTGCCTTGGTTTGCTCTTGTTTGCCTCTGTTTTGTCCTTGCCTGTCTTAGTTTGGCTATGTTAGCCCAGTGGTCGCATTTTAGAATGAACAAACTGGTTTTATGACAATTCCCATAAGCTGGTGGACAAGGTTGCCGGCTGGTGGTGGAGGTTGGACATTGTGTGGTTTCCTTTCACAGCTTGTAGTGGTAAGAGCACTGGGGCACCTTATCTTACACC